GTTTTCTAAACATTCCAGTTCACTACTAGTTAGGCCTAGTCGTGGAGCTAACCTCCTAAACAACGATAATCCAATCCTCTGCGCAAGATGTGCATGCTCTTCTTCAGAAAGCTCACCTATTAAAAAATCAAAAAATGTACAAAATTCATTTTTGAAATAAAATCGTGAAAAATTCTTCCACTTTTTTAGGATCTTCTTTGGCTAATTCCTGAGCAAATAAGAACAGTTCTTCATCTGTGGATATGCCTTCCTTAAATCTACGCTCTGAAAAACGCGAATTATACCATTTTACTTAAAATTGATATAAATGTTAGAAAATCTCTAGGATCTCCTTGTTCTAAGGCATCGAGTTCATGAGGTTTAAAACCCATAAGTTCTTAGGCGTAACTTCGCCATTTACCGTCCGAAATTTTTTCAACCTATGCATCTACTCCTTCTTCTTTTACAATTTAAAATAAGGGCAGTGTAAGATGACGTCGTCTATCTACGACAAAAAATGTCATTCCATGTCAGCACACAGAATTTGCTGTGTTTTCCTGGAGGGTTTGTAACGCCACCAATGGAATAGATTACAATTCTTCTGACGACATTTCAAATACATCTTTTGATAATTCATGTCTGACTTGTGATGCCACTGGGTATCATTCACCGCTGGCAATTGGAGAACCAACAACTCTTTGTAGTTGTGCGACAGTTTACCATCAACCAACTGAAATAGAAACGAAGTTCACGTAAGTATATCAACGTTCAATGGCTTTTAAAAAATGTATCTTGATTTACATAACTTACCTCCGGCACCGAAGATGATGACGAAAATGAGATTTCAAACAGAGTTCCTGGAGGCTTAGCTGTGTGGAATCTCATTGAAACACTCCACAGAAGATTGACCTTTGAGTTGGCAGGCACCCTCTTAAAACTCCGTCTTGAGAATCTCCCAGTGTATTTCACACCTGTTGAACAAGGAAGTTAGTATAAATGGTTTACATCAAAGAACCCGTGATAAGAAATTGACGTTCTCCTTAGCTGGGGTATTTTAGGGGAATGCGAATCCCAGAAAATCAACGCTGACTGGAGGCCTGGATAATTTCTCTCCAATTTAACCCTTTAACTCCCATGAGTGACCAAGACAGTATTTCTCCTTACAATATTAATACAATATCAACCAGGTAAGTGATGAGAATAAAGAAAAACATCAATTTGGGAATAATTAGTTGATCCAATACTAAATTCTCTGAACTAACATCGTAAGAATTGTATGGTTGACAGTAGGGAGAATTACAAATTTGATCAGGGAGTTAAAGGGTTTAGGAAATTAATTAACCTGAGTTACAACAACCTTTACCTGCCATAAATTACCAAGACATAATTTCTCCTCACAATGTCAAAACAATATCAAGCAGACAAGTGATGAGAATAAAGAAAAATATCAATTAGAGAATTATTAATTGATCCAATACTAAATCCTCAGAACTAACATCATAAGAATTGTATGACAGACAGTAAGGAGAATTACCGATGATATCTTGGCAGTGAAAGGGTTAAGAAACAGAAATTGCTGACACAACAGAAGACAGTATTTGAGGAACTCGGCCCTTAACGTTAAGGAAGGGAATCTTTCAACTCTGAGGATTGTTCACAGGGTTTTTGAAACCAGCAGATCTTCGTCAGATGTAAAGTAAAACTAATTTTTCGCTCTTTTCTCAGAACTGTTGGGTCAAAATCTGGTATGGATCGATAATTCAAGGCAAAAATACCGGTGATTAAGTACGTGTGTTTATTAATTGAAGATTCACTAAACCAGACAAACTCGACTATATATTTTTCATAACAAGGAACCGCATACATTTAAATGCTCATAAGGTGTCCTTTATCATGCACAACTCATGAACTGTTGTCTGCATCTTAGATACTAAGTATTTGAAAATATTTCAAAAGATTCCGTACTCTTGCGAACGCTTCAAACTAAAGTAAGTGCGAGAGGAAAGATTACTTACATATCCGTAAAAAAAAATTCAATACCTGTTTCACCGCGACTTCCATCAAATCCAGTGGGACAGTCACACCGGCGAGTACCAAGTAAGTTAAAACACGTGCCTCGCCCGCAAGGTTGTTTATAGGCGCACGTGTTGCCCATTGCTTTACATTTAGCACTGGTTCCGTTGTTGTACAATGGCTGACTGAGGTCCAAGAACTTGTGATCGATGTAAACATTTCTGATGCAGCCAGTAAAATGTTTGTAGGGCACTGGGAATTTAATTGGTAGCGGCACGAGCCCACCGAGAAGAAGAGGGCCTGTCAAATGCAAGGGGCTAAAAAAAAAAAAAAAGGATCACAGTGTTACTATTTACAGTTCGCTTTTAATTACAAACACGAAAACATTCCATACACGATTTTGTGAATTTAAAAAGCAAGTAGATATCTAGAATTATGTATAGGTCAAGTACTGCAAAAAGTGTACACTTGTGATCAAAGAGCACTGATCAGGAAGTTATAGCCCTCAAGATTACAGTTAGCCCTTTGACTCCCAGAAATGAGAGCTCCAACAGCAGTTTGACATAAGTAATCTGACAAAAAAATCACTGCTTGGGGTCAAGAACTCGTCAAAAACATCTTACAATAAAGGTCACCCACTATACTAAAATTGTTGCATATATTGACCCGCTAATAAATACCTAAAGCTCTGATGATGATGATAATTAATAATAACAATAATAATAACAATTACTTATAACGACAATAACAATATTAACAGTTCGTATGATATATTTCTCTATTGTCAATTTGCTTACAAATTTTAGAAATAATTAATTCAAACAAATCGGAAATAAACACAGTAAATAAACATCAACACAGTTTTTAAGAACCTCAACTAGTAAAAGGCAGACAAATTGGCTTTAAACAGAGCAAACCCAACGAGTGGAACTCAGTGCAACTGAAAAGAAATCCAGTGAGTAGCAAAGTGGAGAACTACAACCTGGGACCACCGGATGACAAGTCCCTAAGCACTTGGCAAGTCCCTAAGCAGGTGGCCAGTGCCCTAAGTACTCAGCCACTCTGCCTACTCCAAGGGTCTTTCTTGATGGTGTGCATTTATATAAAAATATACCTGTAATTTTCAGATTCATCTTTAATTTGAAGCTGCCGTGCTGCGGCACATGAGAAGGAGGTTGCTTTGGTCCCAAAATTCACTGCCACGGCTAGCTTACATTCGTCAACAATGATAATGCTAGTCTAAACAAAGAAAAAAATGATTTACTGGGTAAAAAACATTTCGAAGAAGGGTTACTTATCCTTGTATGTATTAAACTTTTTCAATATAAAATGAAGACTAACTCTGAGATCATCAAAGTAAAACGCAAGATCACTTGAGATACTGGATAGTAACAGGGGGTTAACCCTTTAACTCCCATGAGTGACCAAGACAGAATTTCTCCTTACAATGTCAATATAATATCAATAAAATATCAAGCAGACAAGTGATGAGAATAAGAAAAAGCTTATTTAGGTATTATTACTTGATCCATTACCAAATTCCCCAAACTAACTTCTAAAAAAACAATATGGCAGACAGTAAGAAGAATTATAAAGAGATCTTGGGAGTTAAAAGGTTACCGGTAAAGGTGAAAGTGTTGTTTGCGTCCTGATCTTGGCCACAGTGCGTCGCAAACTCTTTTATTTTACCGGCACTTTTCTGAATCATCCAAATTTTTTATTTCATATTATTTTCATATAAGGACCAAACTTTGTGCCCGCATGTAATTTCTTATATACCATGACATGATTTCTTATATACCAAGACGCGTTTTGAAGGCTTGAAGTTGCTTTATTTCTCGCTTTTTGCAACAAGCATTTGAGAGTACTTTGTTAAAAAATCATGTAAAAAATTTTAAAATTACACCAAAGCTCCTAAAAGTGCCACAAATAAAAATCAAATGAATTATATTTTGAAGTAAAAACACCACCGATTTCTTCAGCACTAGCACATTAAAGTTGGTCAATTTTACTGTATTTTTTGCATAATTAATTAGGTAAAAACCCGAACGCATTTCTTCCTGCAACGATTACCATCTTTCCGGGCGCAAATCGCGCGCGCGTTGCTCGGAGGTGATTAGCAAGGGATATTTGGAGTTTGAGTAGCCAATCAGAGTGCGCCTATAATGCTACCCACTCTATATATACTCACAAGATTGTTAGCCTTTAACTGACTGTACCAAAGATGTGTTACAGATGTTTCGCTGCACAATAATATTGCGTAACGAAGTAATATCACCCCTTATTTTCCTCTTCGTTTCGTGACCATCAAAATATTGACTACAAAGGAGTTAAAACATAGAAATGTTTGAGTTTACGCATTGTAAACGACTTACCAAGTTCAGGATTATCAGGGTACTTGGCCTTTCGCGATTTTCCATCTAAAATTTGAACAACCAAACAAAAATTAGTTCCCAGAAATGAGGAATAACTCCATTACAACGTATTCTTTCGCTAAGCGAAATGAAAGACTTGGACGACACAACCAAACAAACAACCAAACAAACAAACAGAACGTGCAGTTTCTGCAAGCCATAAGTCATTCCTAAAATGGTTCAGAGGAATTGGTTCCTTGAAAAAAAGCAATTATAAATTCCACTATACAGCAATCAATGCCCAGCCCCTTCCGCCCTAAACCAGTTAGCCTGGTTCCATGTATGATCGTGGCTTGAGATTGCCTCTGATTGCTTTTGTGTTTTAAGTCTTGTATTTACTTTCTAGGTGATTCTTCTTTTCTCCCCACCGAATTGAATTGCAAAGGAACATTTCTTGTAGGACGACTGTAATTAAGGAAAACTTGGCTTCGTAGGGCACAAATCTAGTCTTCATTGAAGAAAAAAAAATGAGGATTTGGCGGGGGCACTTTTCTTCGGTCTCTAGGGTATTGAAGCTGACTAGAAATCACTGTAATTTATTTAAAACCACGTTCTTATTACTTGGACTGAGCAGAATTTATAAACGCATTTGAGAGAAATTATATTTCGAACACACACCTGGTGCACCGGTATCTTCATCTCCTATAGCATCTGTGATACTGTTGTCTGTGGTGAACCGACTCGTTACACTGTTACGGAAACCGCTGCTGGATGGCTCCGTGGTAGATATGCTATTGGCGTTTCCATCGTCGTCAAAATCATACGGGGATCGGAGAGGTGCCGTCTCCCCTGAGTGATAGGAGCGTTTCTAAGGAAAAAAAACCGAAACAGAACTTTTCGTTAAACAGGTGAAGAAAGAAACAAGAAATCAATACAGAGAAATGGAATAGTCTTGCGAATACGAACAGGGAGGGGAGGGAGAGTGCATGAATTGAAAAGTGGGAAGGAAGAAGGGGAAAAGAAAAAGGTTAGTTCACCCTTTCACCCTCAAGATCCAATTGGAAATTCTCCCCTCTTACCACGATACATTTCCTTGAAAATTAGAGGGGAGAGTTTGGTGTTACTGCAGAATGATACTCTCCGGCTGATAAGACTGACTGTTCTCAAAACGTATTTACAAGATAATAAACTGGAACCTCAGGGAGAAGTTACATGTTGATCAAGTCTGGAAGTTAAAGAGTTAAAGAGTCAAAAGAAACCTACTTGTTTCATTTGTAGGTAGCTGACAATGAATTTTGAACCGACGTGACAAGCGGGAGAAGGATAACATTGTGGTACTCATAATGGAGATGAAACAGTGAAAAATTGCCGAACAGTATTTCCTCAAACAAGCGGTTATTTAAAATGTCGGCCAAAGGAGGGGCGGGGGGAATGCGCTTATTGGAAGGATGGCGCTTAATCGAAGAGGGCGCTTGTTGATCTCCTGTTCTGATTCCGCTGCAGTTGAAGCTTGAAAAATTATAGATAAAGTGGAAAAAGAAAGCGATTTTCTTTGTATCCCTACCAGCTGAGGAAATGAAGGGAAGAGACGAGGTGAAGGGGGGGGGGTGGTGAGGGGGCGCCTAGGGGCGGGTACTTATTCGGCGGAGAGCACCTCTTAGGGCGTGGGTGCTTATTCAAAGAAATACTGTATACCTAACAGGGGAGAGGTTGGGTCGGATGAAAGAATGGCTGAAAAATGAGAAGGAGTGAAAATATGGCAGACCATGAATTGATCTTTTGAAATGGGGTCAAACAGGGGAGAAGAGCAAGTGAAAAACAGAACATACTTCCTAGAGAGGACGAATCAATGAATTAAGAATGTCTCATTTAAGGAAAGAGGGCGAGTTAAGTACAGAGACGTAAAGAGGGTAATTATTCCTCATACAAAATGCTGCGTGGGTTTCTGTATCCCGTATGTCTTGTCCTTAGTCTTCCAGCGTATGTACACATTCTTAAACTCTTTCCGAACCTGAAGGTTTTTTAAAATAAAGCAAGATTGTGAAAGTGAATCAAATATTCCGCGTCGATGAAATCAAATTGAAATCGTGAAAAAAAAGGAAAGATTTGAGACATTTGACAAATGAATAAAGAATTATCTAGTTTAAATCATAACGAACCAGTCTCTATTTATCGGCGGGGGGAGGGGGGGAGGGGGAGGGGGGGAGGGGGGGAGGGAGGGGAGGGGATCACGTGGTATTAAAGGGAAACAGAGGGGGAATCAATCGTCTCGAACAGAGTTTAATGGTGGACTGTGGAAAATTGACTTCCAATGGAGTTGGGGAGGAATGGATTATTGGAATACTCCAGAACCTTATGGGAGGGATTCGGTAAATTTCACTTTATCATTTTATCATTTTTAGGTATTATAACATTTCTCAGTTACTGAGCAGTTGGAGATTGGTCAGTTGAGGGAAGCGGTTTTGAATACATGGTCTGCATAAATCTAATATCTTCCGTTATCTATGGCATGGTAGTTAACTATTCACCTCAGTGGAGGAAACTAGCAGTTGATATTTAATCTCGCCGCTTCACGGTTCGGTAAATATCCACCACGAGCAACCTCTACTTCGGTGAAAAGTTGTTAAATAGTCTTTTATGCTTAAGCCTGGTTTTCCCCAGCGACGCAAACACAAGCGCAAGCACAAACGCGAGCATCAGGTAAGTATGCCAATTGAAAACGAACGTCGACGAGCACAAAGAGTAGCGCAAGAAAAAGGACAAATTTTGATCCTTGCGCTATATTCTTGCTTGCTTCTCTGAGCTGTTAAGCTTGTGTTTATGCTTGCGTCGCTCGTGAAAACCAAGTTTTAGCAAGAGACGATTGACACGCTCATGTATCAGTCAAAAGTGCTATCTTACGTCAAGTTAGATTGTTCGTCGTCGTGGTGATGGTGGTGCTGCCGGTGACGTCTCTTCCTTGATTTTTTTTGAAGTGAAGTGAACAGCGCCATGATAAAGACGAGTGTGTTGAGCTAAGATGATAAAAAGAAAACCAATGAACAACATGACATACTAAATCAATCAGTGTAATAATACTGCACCATTCCACAAATACAAAATTTGTGTATAAATATGAACAATTTCAGACCGTCATCTCTATGTAGTTGTTTGTTTTGTTTGCCACAGCAACATGCATGTCAACTGCGCAAAAGAATGCCACTGAGGCAAACACCAAGTCACAAAACGAAATATAAATAAAACGGGCCCACCGTTCATCAACACAGTATCTGCAACGACATTATAAGTAGAGAGGAGGATGGGAAAACTAAATGAGGAAGAACGAGTGAAAAGTGGACGGTTGACATTAACCCTTCTCATTTGTAAGACAATTCTAATGATGTTAGTTCGGAGAATTTGGTATTGGATCGAGTAATAATCGCCTAGTTGATATACTTTTTCTTTTTTTCTCATCACCGCCCTGCTTCATATCGTGATGATGTTGTAAGGAGTACGGGAATGAGACCAGCTTCCTAGAGATGTCACTGGATGTTTTTAGAAAGATTTTTAATTCAATTGATAATCACTTTACCACAAGAGATTTACCTCTTGGTTTGCCGTTAATATTGACATGTATTGTCAGGAGTGGGATCATTCGTGAAGCTACTTACCGCGACAATGATGATGATCGGAATAGTAAAGGTCCAGATAAGTGTTCCATTTGTCGACATTCAGCAGCTGAAAAGTAATAAAAAAAGGTCAAATGTCGCGAAATTAGTGGGAACTGTCACTATCTATTGCTTGGTCTAAGAATGTTAAAAGTACAAACAAACTGTTTACGGAGACTAGTAAAAAGTTCTACAGCGACCATACTCGTAAGTTTACTTACAATCTCTGGTTTCCGTAGCCCTCGTTCGCTAAGGCAGCGGAAACTCCGACCACAATAGCGGGACATCCTGAGACAAAAAAAAACCACACTCGTTGCACAGAAATCCGTGTTTTATGATATGTTTTATAATTATTATTTGAAAGCATTAATTTTCAAAAGCAAACTTATCTTCAAATAGGCGATGGCGAGCGAATATTTTAAAAATGTAACTTTTGGTAGGCATCTTGTATCAGTCATTCCTCTTCCATCCCCCCTCCTCCGGTTTTTTTTTTTACGAAAAATGCCTGCTTACAACTCACGAAATTTAACCTATTTACTCCCACGATGTAATTGTTAATTCTCCCCTCCAGTTGCATTACATTTCCTTGTAAATAAGTCCCAATTATTTGGTGTTGGATCAAGATAACAAGCTCTACCTTATAATTTGGGTATTCTCACTTCCTGTTTGCTGGATAATGTATGGATGTTAGAGGGAGAATTTAAGGGTTAGTCACTTCAAAGGATTGATACCATACATTCCCTGTTGGACAACATTCGTACCACTTACCCCACCCCATGAAGAAATAGAAGGACAATTTCCCAGTGTCTATATTCCTCTTTTCCCTGAGCTTGCGATACATGTGCAGACCTTCGACGAACATCCACGAGAAAGAGGCGCTGAAGAAATAATGCAGCACTATGGCGATCAACTGACACAATCTCTGCAATGAAACAAAAATAAAAGCAACGTCGTAAGATCAGAAGCCAAACTAATATGTTTTAAAGAAAGCTAAAGCTAGATTTCCAATTTTGCGTTTTTGCGCTAGTGAACATGCGTTAAAAAAAAAATTGGCCATAGTTGAGGTAGACGTTTACTTGCGTAAAAGTAACCATTGAGTGAACGCTGTCATTTTTCAAAGCTAGCTTTGAAACTATTTGCGGTGGCCAATTTACTTTATCAACTCAATTGATAATACTTAATCACCCTACTGTAAACATAAGTTAGCTTTGTATTTGACCCAATCTGATCTGCCGTTCTGTTGATTCCCAAGAGGAACGTCCGCTCCGAAACGAAAACCGCTACAATAAGGTTCTTATAAATTGTTATTGAGTTGCTCTTCAGATTGTTGTAAAGACAAAATAGTGATGGTACAGATAATGATGCGTTTATACAGCGCATCCTCCAAAAGAATATGCTCTAATACGCTTACAACTTTTTGCAGCGGACTTTGACCGGACTGCACTTAACACCTTACAATTTTTTTGAAAGATAATTTTGCAGGTGTCTCCAATTTAGGAATTTTTGGAAAACAATACTTCACCAAAACACCGAGAGCTCCGCTTCCTACGCTTACGAGAAGTGCGTGGGCTCAATATTGTATTGTTCAATTTTGTATTAGAAGTACCCATGGGAGAAGAGATCATGATATAACGATATCGAATATTTCCACAATTGCTTACGACCGTTGTGAGAAGGTCAGGTCAGTAAAATGACGAAAATTAAATAAAAATTACCTTAGACACAAAAGTAGTATAAAAGCTGTCAGTAACAGAACCAGGGACACCGAAATACCAATGTACGTCACCAAACGCATGGCAAAGGCCGCTTGCTCAGGATACTGGTAAAAAATCGAAAAAAAGAGAAAATTATTTGTGACACTGAAACAACACGCCACCTCCTTCAGAAAAACATCAACCACAAAATCAACAACAAGAACAAGAACAAGAACAACAACAACAACAACAACAACAACATCAAAAACGACTTAAACAAGTTGACCTTAGTTTTCTTTCACGATTCTCAATTTATGAACTAATTCCATTTCAATCTTTCCCCTGGATCATTTGGATCAGTTTTTTCTAATGTGTATTCTCAATAAAACTAGATTTAGATTCTGATAGATCTACCAATTATAATAATCTTGTTCGAGCTAATTATTGACAATTTTACATTCACTTTCCCGTTGCAATAGTTTGGAAACTGAAAACAACCTCCTCTGAAGGAAAAACTGAGATTCACCTTCATACAGACTTAAAAATAAATTAACTCTTTAACTCCCATTTGTGACCAAGACAGTATTTCTCCTTACAATATCAACCAGATAAGTGATAAGAATAAAAGAAGAAAAAGATCAATTAGAGGATTATTAGTTGATTCAATACTAAATTCTCTGAACTAACATTATAAGAATTGTATGGTCGACAGTAAGGAGAATTACAAATTTAATCTGGGAGTTAAAGGGTTAACTAATAATCCATACGAAAAACATTAATTTCATTTCATTTCTTTATCTTTAAGTTAACCCTTTGACTCACAGGATCTGATTGTTAATTCTCCCTTCTGACTGATACGGTTTTCTTCTAAATAAGCTACGAGAATTTGGTATTAGATCAAGAAAACAACTACTCCATGATCAGTTGAGAAATTCTCATTACCTGTTTGCAGGATAATATATGGATATTATAGAGAGAAGTTACATGTTAATCACGTCTGGGAGTTAAAGGGTTATATATCTTTATCTTGCAGCTCTTTCTCTTTCCTTTCTTATTTACACTCTACTGCCAACAACTCAATTCTAAATATATATCATGGTACTCGACCAGATTAGATTTTTAGCTGTTCTGGTAACCATCGTAATTGTAAATGCATGCCTTCTGAAAACGAGGTAGTAAAGTTGTTGCTGTCTGACAGGACTGCAAAAGCCGTTAGGTGAGTGCAAGAGCAAACTGTGTGAGTTCTATTGGACTTCACTGATTTACACCCGTAACGTGACCATCCACAACCACGCGTGTCTCTATGGTAACGAAAAACAAGAGGCAGGCTTAGCAATTACAACGCGTCTTCTGGTTCCTGAATAACTGTTTTCATTGTGTCCGTAGTGGAATTTTTGCGGTAGTCCGACTATAGAGTACCATGTAGAATATCGAAATACTACTTTAATGCTACTTGACGTAATCATGAATTGAGAATCTTTTTGTATGCAAAGTTTAACCTTGCACATTGGGATGCAAGGTAAGCGTTCTTAAGCTAAAGGGCAGCTTTTTTGTGATGTGGGTATCCTTAAAGAAACAGTGGGGCAAATGACGAATGGTTGTCTGGATCCTTAGATCGCAAGAGCGAAGAAGTTACATCTTAGCAAACGCCAGTATCACTCTTGTATATGAAAACCGTTCGGAAGTTGAAGCATAGCCAATGTTTTTCGTAATGATGGCAAAAGACGTCAACCAGAAGTACCTGTACATGTCATATTCGATTATAGTATATTTTATAGCGGTTTTTGCCATAACCAAGACATGCAACTCTTGTAGTGTCTCCGATTGGCGGTTTCTAGGTTACCATGTTCTCCCGCTCACGACAACTCGGAACGAAAATGAGTACACGGGCCCGAAAGCGGCGCGACTAAACAAGTGTCTCTATGGTAAATTCGAGAGTATGCAACAACATAAAATTAAAGCTATTCATTATTATACTCACGGTACTGAATAATTCCAGTGCACACAAATGTAAGACGATCGATTCACCTAACAGAAAGGAAAGATGACAAATAAACCAACATGACAAGCAGTTGAATTGATCACAGGGTAAACCAGGCTTATTTAAGAGAAGACAACTTAAACATTCTTCGGTTAGTTTCTTAAACAAATCCTAGCTAAAATTAGTAACGAATAACAACTTACAAGTCTGTTGGCAAAGGCAATGCGGACAGGGTATGTTAAGGGAGCCATTTCCATCTGAGGTAACTTGACAGAGACGACATCAGAGCTGACTTCAACGTTGTACTTCGAGTCACTGGAAAAGTAAAAAAGGGACCTTGATTATATCATAAAAATCCTCATGAGGCAATGCGAGGATAATTCGCCTCGCTTTTGCTGAAAAAACACAGAACATACACATTGGGAGAGAAAAAATAGTTTTCAGAGATTATATCAAACAAGGAAGAAATAAGGAGAGCTAAGCCCGAAGAAGATTAACCTTGTACTTCCAAGATCTCAGTAGTAATTCTCCTTACTGTCTGCCATACAATTCTTACGATGCTAGTTCGGAGAATTGGGTATTGGATCAACTAATAATCCCTGAATTTATATTTTTCTTTATTCTCGTCACTTGTCTGCTTGATATTGTATTGATATTGTAAGGAGAAATTCTACCCTCGTCACTCGTGAGAGTTAAAGGATTAACAGGAACTGCAGATGTCAAACTTGAAAATCATACATGCTTATAACACTCACAAACTACAGCGTGGCTCGCTTAAAATAAATTAATATACGAGTTTTATCAAAAATAAAAAAAAGACAAGCAAAAGCAGTTAGAGCAAATCGTAAACTGCTTTTAATTTTTTCTAGCACATAATCCATTTCTCAATCAAACCACAATATACACTACCAGCAGTCCCTTCTTCTCGGTGCAGTCCGTCGCACGATTAAAACAAATTCCGTGGGAAAAAAAAAGACGTTATCGCCCCTCACACCCAAAATTCAACGTGGTGTGCTTACATCAATTTTGTTTTCTTTCCTCAATTTCTTTTAACTCGTGCGACAGACTTCGCTTCAAGGCAGGGACTACTCGTAGTCTAACCACGAAATAGTCTCTTCTAAATACTAGGGGGAAAAACCAAAATTGTTTAAAAATTCTATCCAAACGTACTTTCGATGCATTTAGTGCATGTAACATACCGCGTCTTCGCGTCAAACGCTTTGGGTAATAAATCTCCGATATTTCTGATGATCATGAAGCCAACTCCTATGTTGTCTTCCACATCTGAAACAAAATTAAATAAAAAAATATTTAGATCTCTTAAAGAGCTGTCACTCACAACATTATCATAATCATTGCAAAAAATTATTCAAACAATCTTAAAATTGTTCAAATCCGCCACTCTTTTTTACTATTGTTTGCCAGCTCTCCTAAATATCCTTTTTATCCTCGCGTGCGCGCGCGCAGAATCCAAACGCGCATTAATTTTGCTGTTTCACGGTTTATTCTAGTAACTACCCACGAAGGCCTGGCGGGCCCCCTTCTTTAGTTTTAGGGAGGCCCTTTACCAAGGAAAGGGTTATTAAGCTCGAACTGAGTTTTACAGAACAGATGCCGTATCAGTCTTCTGGCCAGTTATGTCTGCGAATACTTTATAAAATAGTTCTTACAAAATAGAGTTATCCTTCGGCACAATTTTTAGCGCCTCATTTGATATTTAAACGTCCCTTTTATGAGGCAATTTTTTTCGACTAGTGGCGACCCGCAAAACCGTGCTCAAGCATAAACCCAGGTACTCGTTATGCAAGTTACGTCAAATTCACGACTTACCTTTTCCATGAAAGAAAGGTTTAGGAAGGTAAATTCTATTGGAGATATTACGCCAAATTTTATAAGGAGAGTCGCTGTAAAGGTCTCTTCTCGCGGGGTACGATAATCCAGAGAATCCTTTGACATACACTGGATGAAGTTCCATAACTATGAAGAACAAAGCGTGGATATTAGCAAGTGAAAGCAACCGTTTGTTTACAACGAAAGTGTCCGCTTTGTTAATCCAAAACAGTTTTCATAGTTTGTGGAAAACTCATAAAAAGGACGCAGTTAAGGTATTCTAAAATATAGGCCTCTACGATTTTTGCATATATAAGACAGGAAAATTTTACGCATGTTGGGGTGGTGATGGATGTAAACCTTTCTTTTAAGTATCATTCGTGCGCACGTTCAGGATCAAGATCAGGAGTAAGTGTTGTTGCAGGAACATTAAAATATTCTCTAGCGTTGAATGCCGTTTAGGAATATTTCATAAATCTCTGACATAGCTATCGTGCGCTTCTTAACTCAAACACCACAAATAAAATCCTCAAAATGATCAGAAATCTCTACTGACATCATCCGTTTTTCATAATTTTAAATTCCAAAAAATGCAGTGATATTGTTTGGAACATTTCAATCACTTATGAGACAGAGCGGAGGAATTCCCCGACAAGTAAGTACTAAAATTACCTCAAAATGCGACACAGCCCCGTTACACGCAGCAAACTCAACAAAATATATTTCTTGCCAATATTGGGAGTAATAATCGTGTACGGTGGCAAAATGCTTTCGGTAGAGCGCCTGTATCTGCGCAAGTCTCGTTTTAAGTACGGTAGACTTCTGGCTAAGTTTCCGCTGAAGTTTTCCATCTGTTTTAACAGAGCCGCTGTCCCTGCGGATTGCTGTCAAATTGAAAGAAACAGCAGTCAAGATAAGAGGCTTATACGGCCAACGGAAGGTAATAGTAGGGTTAAGTGTACATAAAGATATCTACTGCTCCCAAATATCGCCTTATAAAACTCTTGACCTCACTGCCAGTGCCTCCGAGCTAGTGTCGGTATAAACAAGGAGCTCACAATCCACTGGTCATGTGTTTCTAGGAAAAATATTCAAATGAATTTCAAGAGAAATTTTGTGTGCTTTGTGATGCTCGGCCGAAATTTTTAGTTCTTTTTTTTTGCGTTCTCGGAGAAATTTTGTGTTCTTTTGTGACGATCGGCCATTGATAATTGCGTCTTGGTAGCTAATGTCTGCCCACGTTTGCTACGGATTGCGCATGACAACAGTTTGTGCAAGTCAACGAATGACCACAGACATCTGAAAATATCTTAGTAGAAGCGCGCTTTCCGAACAAGTATGATGATCACGGTTAAAAACTCGTTATGAGGCAATTGGCGAATGGCCGAAAGGGCGCGAGTTTCACAAGCCAATTGGAGAGCATAGCGAAATAAAAACCGGCGACAAATCGACCGTGGATTACTTGCAAAAAAATAAAATAACAGCAAAAATAATTCAGATTTATATCAGGACCTGCACAACTGCGCACCTACCCCTCCCCTAGCCCAAAAATAACACTAATTTGTTATTGGTTGACTGTTCTGGGGTTAGGGGGAGGGGTAGGTACAGAGTTGCTCAGATACTGATCCAATAATTATTACCTGTTGAACGTCTTCCCACACATCGTTGTTATCGGAGCTAAACAGCGTACTGGCTGACTGAAGAAAGACCTGTGGATCATATCAAATAATTACTTAAGTTGTTGTTCTTGAGAGACGCAGAAATTGTAGGAGCAAGGGATTCCGGATCGAAAAGTCGGTTTTGATCCGTAAACTACTCTCTTGGTTTCTCTGGCAAAACTTTCTTTAACCCTTTACACCCTAACATCAGTATACATATTCTCCATACTGTTCTCTTTACAATTCCTAAGGTGCCAACAAGGAGAATTGGTTCAACGATCCTGAGCTTCTATAGTTGTTGATCATTTCCATTATTCTCATGACCTTATTTTGTCATTCAGGGCTGATATTGTAAGGAAAAAGTAAATGCTAGTCACTCTTCAGGGTGAAAAAATTGACCAGTGAACTTCCTCTGCACATTCGCAGCTGCACACTTAAATTATAAGTGGATTTTCCCGTCCTAAAAGTTTGTACGTTGTGTCATGTCATCATTTCGAAACAGCTCTCTTAGTCACAATTTCAGTTCTTGACTGTGGGTTTCTTGTGGCTTGGCAAGAAATAGGAAATTTAGACACCATAAAACTATTATCTCCGCCACCAAAACTTTTTACACAGATAAGGCAGTGAACGCGTTTCCCGATTCAACAGGTCTTCCTCACGCGAGGAAGTCTGCCTTTGAAAGTGGCAAAAGTTTAGGCAATGTTTGTACAGTTAACCCTATGCACCCTACGATCAGTATGCATAATCTCTATACTGTTCTCTTCACCTTTCCAAAGGTCCTGACAAGGAGAATTTGTTAAACTATCAAGAGCTTCCTTAACTGGTGATCAATTCCTTCATTCTCATGACCGTAATATTTGATTCAGGGATGATATCACAGGGAGAAATTAGATGCTAGTCATTCTTAGGGGTCAAAGAGTTAAGAGCTAGGCATGACGGGATCGTTGCTTGAGGTGCAAGCGTTTCCCTCGTTCTCCTGACTTCTTAAAGAAAAACAGAAACTGTTCTGATTTTTTCCCTTGTTTAGACTCTCGAAACTATCCACGGTTTAAATAAAGTTCATCTGATAAGCTTCTTCCATGTGGTACTTACATTACAGTAGCACTCTCCTGTAACTTGTTACAAACTGAACTCAGATTCATTCCCCACTTCACATTTACACGGACCACAGACGCCTATACTTGAAGCACCAAAGTACTTATCTCGACAGGGTACCTCCATGCGGACCTCACAAAATTCCCTTAAGAAATTATACAAAACATTAAAACTCTAAATTTAAGTGAATCTTAAGTTCAACAGTGAGAGATTTGCGTTGCATATCGTTAACTGGTGAATTCGCCCCACAGCAAGTTCGCGCCTAATCACCAGTAACAGTTCGCCCGCAAATCATTAAGATTTTTTTATATGTTTACTCGCCCTGGAGTGATTTTGCGGCTTTGCATTACTCGTGCATTAGTGGTGCCTTTTAACACAGCTAGGAATTTGCATATCGATCGAACGTCGTCATGGTTTCGCTGTAGAGATTATTGAGATTTAAACATCTCTCACATTTGACCCTAGTGTAAAAGATCCTTCGAGACTGTCCTCAAACACCAAAATCGTGAGCTATCGAATTAAACTCTCGAAGGGAAATTCCATATCTACGCGCGCCCATGTATTATTTGCTATTTATTTACTCATTTATTTCATTTATAACAACTTTGTTTGCATTAAAATAGTACCCACAAATGTCCAATAGGGAATAAATTTAAATGAAAAAAAAAATAAAATAAGATAAAAAATGAAAAAAAAAATCCACTTACCAGTGTACTGTTGAGGACAAACACATCGGAATCCCTTTCCATGGTTTGTACTTTCACATTTGCCATGTCGGCATGGCTTAAGAGAACATACGCGCACGCAGTGTTTACCAACGTAACCTACAGGACATGTGCATTTGTAAGAGTCGAATTCCTCTTGACACGTGCTGTAGTCTGGACAAGGGTTGGATGAGCAGTGGCTTCCTATTTTCTCTTCACAACCAGATGGATGCTGTTTTGTGATTGACTCCAGAGTTCATGTTGATCTCAGTGCTCCCGACAAAAATCCCTACGGATAGGGAAAGAGGGAGGTTAGTGTCTCCTCATATAAACGGGTAACCTAGTTGGACCATTCCCGAGAGGCCTCAGCCTCTGTTTTAAAACGAGCCCAGATACGATACTTCTTGCAAACGAAGCTATTTTCACGAAAAAGTAATCGGAAATGGCCTAATATTCATACATCCACTATTGCCATGCTCACTCCAATAGCACAGTTCCAGCCCTTACTACATAAACAAGCACGCACGAACACACATGCACGCGCTTGAACGCACCTGCTCACACACGTACACGCACGTGCGCACGCACATACGCACTCACACTATCGCTCCAAACCTAACGTTTAGTCTGTCTTGCCTTTCTGTGATGTTTTTTCATGTAAATTATTAACAAGTAATAACATGATTTATCATGCTATTTGGTGTAATAAGCAATTATAAATTTTTCAAAGACTACAAAGTTCACTTGCCCCACAGCTCGTGCAATTTTGTGGTATTGAAAAATTTACTCGAGCGTATTAACACCAAATTGCACTCGAAATCATGTTATTACCTATACTCATTAACAACTATCTTTTCCTCCAAGCTTCGGAAAATCAATCAGTGCATTGCTGCTAATCTAATACCTAGAGCAGGCTACAGAAACATAAACCTAACAGTTTAACTAGAGGAATTTGTTAGAAAAGCATACCTTGCTTACAGCCTCTACATCCACCATACACTGCAGACTTGGTAGAATTCTTCCTCGCTCCCATGAAAAACTGTCAGACAACTCCAAGGTCTTTTCCTCTGTATGCATCTGCAGAAACTTTGTAGATGTAGTCCATTGTTATGTTAAGGGAACATCTGTCCAGAGGACCTCAATATGATGCCACTGGGTATCATTCACCGCTATGTGAGGCAATTGGAGAACCAACAGCCCTTTGTAGTTGTATTACAGTTTACCATCAACCAACTGAAATAGCAACGAAGTTCACGTAAGTATAAGAACGTTCAATGACTTCAAAAACATGTACCTTGATTTACATAACTTACCTCCAACACCGAAGATGATGATGAAAAAGAGGTTTCAAGCAGAGATCCTGAAGGCTTGGCTGTGCGGAATCTCATTGAAACACTCCACGGAAGATTGACCTTTGAGTTGGCAGGCACCCTCTTAAAACTCTGTCCTGAGAATCTCTCAGTGTATTTCACACCTGTTGAACAAGGAAGTTTGTATGAATGGTTTCCATATAAGAACTCGTGATAAGAAATTGACGTTCTCTTTAGTTGGGGTATTTTAGGATAACGTGACTCCCAGAAAATCAACGCTAACTGGAGGCCTGGATAATTTCTCTCCAATTTAACCCTTAAATTCCCATGAGTGACCAAGACAGTATTTCTCCTTACAAAATTAATACAATATCAACCAGATAAGCGATGAGAATAAAGAAAAACATCAATTTGGGGATAATTAGCTGCTCCAATACTTAATTCTCTAAACTAATATTGTAAGAATTGTAGACAAGCGGTCAAGCGACGAGAATAATGAAAAGTATCAATTAGAGAATTATTAATTGATCCAATACTAAATTCTCAGAACTAACATCATAAGAATTGTATAACAGACAGTAAGGAGAATTACCAATGATACCTTGGCAGTGAAAGGGTTAAGAAACAGAAATTGCTGACACAACAGAAGACAGTATTTGAGGAACTCGGCCCTTAACGTTAAGGAAGGGAATCTTTCAACTCTGAGGATTGTTCACAGCGTTTTTGAAACCGGCAGATCTTCGTCAGATGTAAAGTAAAACTGATTTTTCGCTCTTTTCTCAGAACTGTCGGGTCAAAATCTGGTATGGATCGATAATTCAAGGCGAAAATACCGGTGATTAAGTACGTGCATTTATTAATTGAAGATCCACTAAATCAGATAAACTCGACGATACATTTCTCATAACAAGGAACCGCATACATTTAAATGCTCATAAGGTGTCCTTTATCATGCACAACTCATGAACTGTTGTCTGCATCTTAGATACTAAGTATTTGAAAATATTTCAAAAGATTCCGTACTCTTGCGAACGCTTCAAACTAAAGTAAGTGCGAGAGGAAAGATTACTTACATATCCGTAAAAAAAAATTCAATACCTGTTTCACCGCGACTTCCATCAAACCCAGTGGGACAGTCACACCGGTGAGAACCAAGTATGTTAAAACACGTGCCTCGCCCGCAAGGTTTATATGCGCACGTGTTGCCCATTGCTTTACATTTAGCACTGGTCCCGTCGTTGTTGTACAATGGCTGACTGAGGTCCAAGAACTCGTGATTGATGTAAACATTTCTGATGCAGCCAGCAAAATGTTTGTAGAGGACTGGGAATTTAATTGGTAGCTGCACGAGCCCACCGAGAAGAAGAGGGCCTGTCAAATGCAAGGAGCAAAAAAAAAACACAAAACAAAACAAAAAACCCGGAGTTGCTATTTGCAGTTCACTTTTTATTACAAACACGAAAACATTCCATAAACAATTTTGTGAATTTAAAAAGTAAGTTAAAATCTAGAATTATGTATAGGTCAAGTACTGCAAAAAGTGTACACTTGCGATCAAAGCGCACTGATCAGGAAGTTCTAACCCTCAAGATTACAGTTGACCCTTTGACTCCCAGAAATGAGAGCTCCAACTGCAGTTTGACATAAGTAATCTGACAAAAAAATCACTGCTTGGGGTCAAGAACATGTCAAAAACTTCTTACAATAAAGGTCACCCACTATACTAAAATTATTGCATATACTGACCCGTTTATAAATACCTAAAGCTCTGATGATGATGATGATGATGATGATGATTAATGATAACAATAATAATAACAATTAATTATAACAATAATAATAACACTATTAACAGTTCGTATGATATATTTCTTTATTCTCCATTTGCTTACAAATTTTAGAAATAATTAATTCAAACAAATTGGAAATAAACATAGTAAATAAACGTCAACACAGTTTTTAAGAACCGCAACTAGTAAAAGGCAGACAAATTGGCTTTAAACAGAGCAAAGCCAACGAGTGGAACACAGTGCAACTGAAAACAAATCCAGTGAGTAGCAGAGTGGAGAACTACAACCTGGGACAACCGGATGACAAGTCCCTAAGCACTTGGCAAGTCCCTAAGCAGGTGGCCAGTGCCCTAAGTACTCAGCTACTCTGCCTATTCTTGATGGTGTGCATTTACATAAAAATGTACCTGTAATTTTCCGATTCATCTTTAATTTGAAGCTGCCGTGCTGCGGCACACGAGAAGGAGGCTGCTTTAGTCCCAAAATTAACTGCCACGGCTAGTTTACATTCGTCAACAATGATAATGCCAGTCTAAACAAAGAAAAAAATGATTTACTGGGTAAAAAACATTTCGAAAAAGGGTTACTTATTCTTGTATTTATTAAATTTTTTCAATACAAAGTGAAGACTAACTCTGAGATCATGAACGTACAACACAAGATCACTTGGGATACTGGATAGTAACAGGGGGTTAACCCTTTAACTCCCATGAGTGACCGAGACAGAATTTCTCCTTACAATATCAATACAATATCAATACAATATCAATACAATATCAATACAATATCAATACAATATCAATACAATATCAATACAATATCAATACAATATCAATACAATATCAATACAATATCAATACAATATCAACACAATATCAATATAATATCAATATAATATCAATACAATATCAAGCAGACAAGTAATGAGAATAAGAAAAATCTTATTTAGGGATTATTACTTGATCCATTACTAAATTCCCCAAACTAACTTCTAAAAAACAATATGGCAGACAGTAAGAAGAATTATAAATGAGATCTTGGGAGTTAAAAGGTTACCGGTAAAGGTGAAAGTGTTGTTTGCGTCCTGATCTTGGCCACAGTGCGTCGCAAACTCTTTTATTTTGCCGGCACTTTTCTGAATCACCCAAATTTTTTATTTCATATTATCTTCGTATAAGGACCAAACTTTGTGCCCGCATGTAATTTGACATGATTTCTTATATACCAAGACGCGTTTTGAAGGCTTGAAGTTGCTTTATTTTTCGCTTTTTGCAACAAGCGTTTGAGAGTACTTTGTTAAAAAAATCATGTAAATTTTAAAATTACACCAAAGCTCCTAAAAGTGCCACAAATAAAAATCAAATGAATTATATTTTGAAGTAAAAACACCACCGATTTCTTACGAAAAATCTTCCTTCAGCACTAGCACATTAAAGTTGGTCAATTTTACTGTATTTTTTGCATAATCAATTAGGTAAAAACCCGAACGTATTTCTTCCTACAACGATTACCATCTTTCTGGGCGCAAATCGCGCGCGCGTTGCTCGGAGGTGATTAGCAAGGGATATTTGGAGTTTAAGTAGCCAATCAGAGTGCGCCTATAATGCTACCCACTCTATATATACTCACAAGACTATTAGCCTTTAACTGACTGTACCAAAGATGTGTTACAGATGTTTCGCTGCACAACAATATTGCGTGACGAAGTAATATCACCCCTTATTTTCCTCTTCGTTTCGTGACCATCAAAATATTGACTACAAAGGAGTTTAAACATAGAAATGTTTGAGTTTACGCATTGTAAACGACTTACCGAGTTCAGGATTATCAGGGTACTTGGCCTTTCGCGATTTTCCATCTAAAAATTTGAACAACCAAACAAAAATTAGTTCCCAGAAATGAGGAATAACTCCATTACAACGTATTTTCGCTGAGCGAAATGAAAGACTTGGACGACACAAACAAACAAACAAACAAACAAACAGAATGTACAGTTTCTGCAAGCCATAAGTCATTCCTAAATGGTTCAGAGGAGTTGGTTCCTTGAAAAAAAAGCAATGATAAATTCCACTATCAAGCAATCAATGCCCGGCCCCTTCTGCGCTAAACCAGTTAGCCTGGCTCCAGGTATGATTGTTGGTTGAGATTGCTTCTGATTGCTTTTGTGTTTTAAGTCTTGTCCTTACTTTCTAGGTGATTCTTCTTTTCTCCCCACCGAATTGAATTGCAAAGGAACATTTCTTGTAGGACGACCGTAATTAAAGAAAACTTGGCTTCGTAGGGCACAAATCTGGTCTTCATTGAAGAAAAAAAATAAGGGGATTTAGCGGGGGCACTTTTCTTCGGTCTCTAGGGTATAGAAGCCGACTAGAAGTCACTGTAATTTATTTAAAACCACTTTCTAATTACTTGGACTGAGCAGAATGTATAGAGCACATTTGAGAGAAATTCCATTTCAAACACACACCTGGTGCACTGGTATCTTCATCTCCTATAGTATCCGTGATACTGTTGTCTGTGGTGAACCGACTCGTTACACTGCTACGGAAACCACTTCTGGATGGCTCCGTGGTAGATGTGCTAGTGGCGTTTTCATCGTCGTCAAAATCATACGGGGATCGGAGAGGCGCCGTCTCCCCTGGGTGATAGGAGCGTTTCTAAGGAAAAAAAAAAAAAAAAAAAAAAAGAACTCTTTGTTAAACAGGTGCAGAAAGAAAAAAGAAATCAATAGGTTGGATGGAGAAACTTGTTGATCTCCTTTTCTGATTCTGCTGCAGTTGAAGCTTGAAAAGTTATAGATAAAGTGGCAAAATAAAGCGGTTTTGCGCTATATTCTTGCTTGCTTGCTTGCTTCTCTGAGCTGTTATGCTTGTGTTTATGCTTGCGTCGCTTGTGAAAACCAAGCTTTAGCAAGAGACGATTGATACGCTCATGTATCAGTCAAAAGTGCTATCTTACGTCAAGTTAGATTGTTCGTCGCCATGGTAATGGTGATGATGCGGGCGACGTCTCCTCCTTGATTGTTTTTGAAGTGAAATGAACAGCGCCATGATAAAGACGAGTGTGTTGAACTAAGATGATAAAAAGAAAATCAATGAAAAACATGACATACTAAATCAATCAATGTAAAGGTATACAAATACCGCACCATTCCACAAATGCAAAATTTGTGTATAAATATGAACAATTTCAGACCGTCATCTCTATGTAGTTGTTTGTTTTGTTTGCCACAGCAACATGCATGTCAACTGCGCCAAAGAATGCCACTGAGGCGAACACCAAGTCACAAAACGAAATATAAATAAAACGGGCCCACCGTTCATCAAGACAGTATTTGCAACGAAATTATAAGTGGAGAGGAGGATGGGAAACTAGATGAGGAAGAACGGGTGAAAAGTGGACGGTTGACATTAACCCTTCTCATTTGTAAGACAATTTTAATGATGTTAGTTCGGAGAATTTGGTATTGGATCGAGTAATAATCCCCTAGTTGATATATTTCTTTTTTTCTCATCACCGCCCTGCTTCATATCGTGATGATGTTGTAAGGAGAACGGGAATGAGACCAGCTTCCTAGAGATGCCACTGGATGTTTTTAGAAAGATTTTTAATTCAATGATAATCACTTTACCACAAGAGATTTACCTCTTGGTTTGCCGTTATAATTGACATGTATTGTCAGGAGTGGGATCATTCGTGAAGCTACTTACCGCGACAATGATGATGATCGGAATCGTAAAGGTCCAGATAAGTGTTCCATTTGTCGACATCCGGCAGCTGAAAAGTAATAAAAAAAGGTCAAATGTCGCGAAATTAGTGGGAACTGTCACTATCTATTGCTTGGTCTAAGAATGTTAAAAGTACAAACAAACTGTTTACCGAGACTAATAAAAAGTTCTACCGCGACCATACTCGTAAGTTTACTTACAATCTCTGGTTTCCGTAGCCCACGTTCGCTAAGCCAGCGGAAACTCCGACCACAATAGCAGGACATCCTGAGACAAATAAAAACCACACTCGTTGCACAGAAATCCGTGTTTTATGATATGTTTTATAATTATTATTTGAAAGCATTAATTTTCAAAAGCAAACTTATCTTCAAATAGGTGATGGCGAGTGAATATTTTAAAAATGTGACTTTTGGTAGGCTTCTTGTACCAATCATTCCTCTTCCATCCCCCTCCCCCGTTTTTTTTTTTTTCCCGAAAAATGCCTGCTTACAACTCACGAAATTTAACCTATTTACTCCCACGATGTGATTGTTAATTCTCCCCTCCAGTTGCTTTACATTTCCTTGTAAATAAGTCCCAATTATTTGGTGTTGGATCAAGATAACAACTTCTACCTGATAATTTGGGTATTCTCACTGCCTGTTTACTGGATAATGTATGGATATTGGAGGAAGATATTAACTGTTAATCACTTCAAAGGATTGATACCATACATTCCCTGTTGGACAACATTCGTAACACTTACCCCACCCCATAAAGAAATAAAAGGACATTTTGCCAGTGTCTATACTCCTCTTTTCCCTGAGCCTATGATACATGTGCAGACCTTCCACGAACATCCACGAGAAAGAGGCGCTGAAGAAATAATGCAGCACTATGGCGATCAACTGACACAATCTCTGCAATGAAACAAAAATAAAAGAAACGTCGTAAGATCAGATGCCAAACTAGTATGTTTTTAAGAAAGCTGAAGCTAGATTTCCACTGTTGCGTATTTCCCCACGCTAATGAACATGAATTGTAAAAAAAAAATGCCATAGTTGAAGTAGACGTTTACTTGCTTAAAAGCATCCATTGACTGAACGCTGTCATTTTTCAAAGCGAGCTTTGAAACTATTTACGGTGGCCAATATTTACTTTATCAACTCAACTGATAATACTAAATCACCCTACTGTAAACATACGTTAGCTTTGTATTTGACCCAACCTGATCTGCCGTTCTGTTGATTCCCAAGAGGAACGTCAGCTCCGCAACGAAAACCGCTACAATAAGGTTCTTATGAGTTGTTATTGAGTTGCTCTTCAGATTGCTGTAAATACAAAATAGTGACGGTGCTGATAATGATGCGTTTATACAGCGCATCCTCTAAAAGAATATGCTCTAACGCGCTTACAACTTTTTGCAACGGACTTTGACCGGACTGCACTTAACACCTTACAATTTTTTTGAAAGGGATTTTTGCAGGTGCCCCCAATTTAGGAATTTTTGGAAAACAATACTTCACCAAAACACCGAGAGCTCCGCTTCCTACGCTTACGAGAAGTGCGTGGGCTCAATATTGTACTGTTCAATTTTGTATTAGAAGTGCCCATGGAAGAAGAGATCATGATATAACGATATGGAATATTTCCCACAATTTCTTGCGACCGTTGTGAGAAGGTCAGCTCAGTAAAATGACGAAAATCAAATAAAAATTACCTTAGACACAAGAATAGTATAAAAGCTGTCAGTAACAGAACCAGGGACACCGAAATACCAATGTAGGTCACCAAACGCATGGCAAAGGCTGCTTGCTCGGGATACTGGTAAAAAATCGAAAAAAAGAGAAAATTATTTGAAACAACACGCCACCTCTTTCAGAAAAACATAAACAACAAAGTCAACAATATCAACAACAACAACAACAACAACATCAAAAACAACAACAACAACATCAAAAACAACTTAAACAAGTTGACCTTAGTTTTCTTTCGCGATTCTCAATCTATGAACTACTTTCATTTCAATCTTTCCCCTGGATCATTTGAATCAGTTTTTTCCAATGTGTATTCTCAATAAAACTAGATTTAGACTCTGACAGATCTACCAATTATAATAATCTTGTTCGAACTAATTATTGACAATTTTACATTCACTTTCCCGTTGCAATAGTTTGGAAACTGAAAACAACCTCCTCTAAAGGAAAAACTGAGATTCACCTTCATACAGACTTAAAATTAAATTAACCCTTTAACTCCCATGAGTGACCAAGACAGAATTTCTCCTTACAATGTCAATACAATATCAACCAGATAAGCGATAAGAATAAAGAAAAAGATCAATTTGGGGATTATTAGTTGATCAAATACTAAATTCTCTGAACTAACATTATAAGAATTGTATGGTTCACAGTAAGGAGAATTACAAATTTAATCTGGGAGTTATAGGGTTAACTAATAATCCATACGAAAAACATATCATTCAAAGCTTTCTACCCGTTACTTATTAATTCATTTCATTTCTTTATCTTTAAGTTAACACTTTAACTCAAGGATCCAATTGTTAATTCTCCCCTCTGGCTGATAAGGTTTTCTTCTAAATAAGTTACGAGAATTTGGTATTAGATCAAGATAACAACTATTCCATGATCAGTTGAGAAATTCTCATTACCTGTTTGCAGGATAATATATGGATATTATAGAGAGAAGTTACATGTTGATCACATCTGGGAGTTAAAGGGTTATATATCTTTATCTTGCAGCTCTTTCTCTTTCCTTTCTTATTTACACTCTACTGCCAACAACTCAAATCTAAATATATATCATGGTACTCGACCATATTAGATTTTTAGCTGTTATGGTAACCATCGTTATTGTACATGCATGTCTTCTGTCAAGGTAGTAAAGTTGTCGTTGTTGTTGCTTTTTTGCTGTAACAGCTTCACAATCATCAACCTCACCTGAAGATTTAAGTCTGACAGGACTGCAAAAGCCGTTAAGTGGGTGCAAGAGCAAACTGTGTGAGTTCTATTGGACTTCACTGATTTACACCCGTAACGTGACCATCCACCACCACGCGTGTCTCTATGGTAACGAAAAACAATAGGCAGGCTTAGCAATCACAACGCGTCTTCTGGCTCCTGAATAACTGTTTTCATTGTGTCTGTAGTGGAATTTTTGCGGTAGTCTGCTACTTGACGTAATCATGAATTAAGAGTCTTTTTGTATGCAAAGTTTAACCTTGCACATTGGGATGCAAGGTAAGCGTTCTTAAGCTAAAGGGCAGCTTTTTATGATGTGGGTATCTTTAAAGAAACAGTAGGGCAAATGACGAATGGTTGTCTGGATCCTTAGATCGCAAAAGCGAAGAAGCTACATCTTAGCAAACGCTAGTATCACTCTTGTATATGAAAACCGTTCGGAAATTGAAGCATAGCCAATGTTTTTCGTAATGATGGCAAAAGACGTCAACCAGAAGTACCTGTACATGTCATATTCGATTATAGTATATTTTATAGCGGTTTTTGCCATAACCAAGACATGCAACTCTTGTAGTGTCTCCGATTGGCGGTTTCTAGGCTACCATGTTCTCCCGCTCACGACAACTCGGAACGAAAATGAGTACACGGGCCCGAAAGCGGCGCGACTAAACAAGTGTCTCTATGGTAAATTCGAGAGTATGCAACAACATAAAATTAAAGCTATTCATTATTATACTCACGGTACTGGATAATTCCAGTGCACACAAATGTAAGACGATCGATTCACCTAACAGAAAGGAAAGATGACAAATAAACCAACATGACAAGCAGTTGAATTGATCACATGGTAAACCAGGCTTATTTAAGAGAAGACAACTTAAACATTCTTCGGTTAGTTTCTTAAACAAATCCTAGCTAAAATTAGTGACGAATAACAACTTACAAGTCTGTTGGCAAAGGCAATGCGGACAGGATATGTTAAAGGAGCCATTTCCGTCTGAGGTAACTTGACGACATCAGAACTAACTTCAACGTTGTACTTCGAGTCGCTGTAAAAGTAAAAAAGGGACCTTGATTATATCATAAAAATCCTCATGAGGCAATGCGAGGATAATTCGCCTCGCTTTTGCTGATAAAAACACAGAATATACACATTGGGGGAGAAAAAAGAGTTTTCAGAGATTACATCAAACGAGGAAGAAATAAGGAGAGCTAAGCCCGAAGAAGATTAACCTTATACTTCCAAGATCTCAGTAGTAATTCTCCTTACTGTCTGCCATACAATTCTTACGATGCTAGTTCGGAGAATTGGGTATTGGATCAACTAATAATCCCTGAATTTATTAGAAAAGCATACCTTGTATACAGCCTCTAAATCCACCATACACTGCAGACTTGGTAGAATTCTTCCTCGCTCCCATGAAAAACTGTCTGACAACTCCAAGGTGTTTTCCACTGGATGCATCTGCAGAGACTTTGTAGATGTAGTCCATTGTTATGTTAAGGGAAGAATCTGTCCAGAGGATCTCGATGTGATGCCACTGGGTATCATTCACCGCTATGTGAGGCAATTGGAGAACCAACAGCCCTTTGTAGTTGTATTACAGTTTACCATCAACCAACTGAAATAGCAACGAAGTTCACGTACGTATAAGAACGTTCAATGACTTTTAAAACATGTACCTCGATTTACATAACTTACCTCCGACACCGAAGATGATGACGAAAAAGAGGTTTCAAGCAGAGTTCCTGAGGGCTTGGCTGTGCGGAATCTCATTGAAACACTCCACGGAAGATTGACCTTTGAGTTGGCAGGCACCCTCCTAAAACTCTGTCCTGAGAATCTCTCTGTGTATTTCACACCTGTTGAACAAGGAAGTTTGTATGAATGGTTTCCATATAAGAACCCGTGATAAGAAATTGACGTTCTCCTTAGTTGGGGTATTTTAGGGTAACGCGACTCCCAGAAAATCAACGCTAACTGGAGTCCTGGATAATTTCTCTCCAATTTAACCCTTAAATTCCCATGAGTGACCAAGACAGTATTTCTCCTTACAAAATTAATACAATATCAACCAGATAAGCAATGAGAATAAAGAAAAACATCAATTCGGGGATAGCTAGCTGATCCAATACTAAATTCTCTAAACTAATATTGTAAGAATTGCAGACAAGCAGAACAGCGACGAGAATAAAGAAAAATATCAATTAAAGAATTATCAATTGATCCAATACTAAATTCTCAGAACTAACATCATAAGAATTGTATGAGAGACAGAAAGGAGAATTACCAATGATATCTTGGCAGTGAAAGGGTTAAGAAACAGAAATTGCTGACACAACAGAAGACAGTATTTGAGGAACTCGGCCCTTAACGTTAAGGAAGGGAATCTTTCAACTCTGAGGATTGTTCACAGGGTTTTTGAAACCGGCAGATCTTCGTCAGATGTACAGAAAAACTGATTTTTCGCTCTTTTCTCAGAACTGTCGGGTCAAAATCTGGTATGGATCGATAATTCAAGGCGAAAATAGCGGTGATTAAGTACGTGCATTTATTAATTGAAGATCCACTGACTCAGATAAACTCAACGATATATTTCTCATAACAAGGAACCACATAAATTTAAATGCTCATAAGGTGTCTTTTGTCATGCACAACTCATGAACTGTTGTCTGTATCTTGCAGTACCGCTCGCGTATACGTTAACCGAAAAACGCGAATTAAACGCGCAAAAAATCGCATGCAATTTCGAATAAAAAACTCGTGCGCGTCAAAAAATCGCAAGTGCGCGCACGACTTTTAGACATCAGCCTCATTAGTATGTATGAGGTAGTCCTTTTGTTTTTCTAGTGTTCGCGGTTTATTGTTTTAAAGAATAGGCTTCAATTCAATCGCACTAAAATACTACAAGGCTACCAATGACAAGCAAACTTGTTGTTTGCAATCGTCGTTCGAACCGACCTTCCCAATCTGCTAGTATCAATGCGACTTCGTAATCGGAACAAATAAATGATTTACCATTTTCCAACGGAATTCATTTATCAAAATAGCTATTTTCCACTTCGTATATAGAAACATCCGTCGCAACGGCTTAGGAATTTGTTCAAAATAAACTTATTCTCAGTGTATTGTAATTCGGTAGAATCTGAGCTAAGGCGCCCGTTTGTAACTAGTTGTCGCGTCCGGAATGCAAGTCCACGCACGAATGCTTATTTCATAGCTTTTGTCATCGGTGAACATGCTGTTCTCAAAAACTGGTTCATTCATCTCGCCATTTATACAAAAACTAATAAGTGCTACTCTCTTATTTTAATGGCGTTGTGTTACAGTATGATTACTTTCATGACTGCCTCTTGCTCTAACTCGTATGCAATTTTTTGTTATGAGAAACCGGATTCGCTTTTTATTTCGATACTTGTCGAATCATTGATCAATGTTCACCAAATTGCTCGAAAAAATGGAATGGAAAAATGAACTGCAGGATACATGTAGTTCAAGTTTGTTTAAGACTCGTCGGCGCGTATAATTAGGCAAAACATCAAGACGGCAATAATCGAACTTGTGTAGTTCAACACGGTAACCCGACGCTCTTCCTTCACGTTAGACTACGGCAGGAATAAATTGTTTACATTCCGCGACGTAAACATCTTAGGGAGTGCTGATTGCAATGAATAGTTGAGAAGTATATTAGTGAGTATTTGTTTCGTTACTTGCTCAATGAAACTCGTGTTTCGATGCCTTAAGCAAGTGACATTTTCTTTCCCCAGCTGATTCATCAACAACTCAAATCAAGCAAATCTACTGCTACTGCTCGTTAT